CTGTTGCTTATCAGCTTGAGTTACCTCCCCAGCTCAGTCGTATTCATGATGTTTTTCATGTATCAATGTTGAGGCACTACCGTCCAGATCCAGGTCACATCATTCAGGTTGAGGAGGTAGAGTTGAGACCTGATTTGTCCTATGAGGAGGAGCCCATTCAGATTTTATATTATTATATATGTATATATAGTTTATATACTTATATACTTTAGTTTTTATAATTATACTTTATATATTTATAATATACTTATACTTATACTTTATATTAATTATATATATGTACATATACTTTATACTAAAACTTTATATATATATATATATATATATATATATATATATATATATACTTTATAGTTTATATATATAGTTATATACTTTATATTTAATACTTATATACTTATACTTAATACTTATATAATTTATATTATTATATACCTATATACACTTTATACTAAAACTTTTTTTATATATATATAAGTATATAATATATATAAAGTTTTGGTATAAAGTATAATACTTTAAAGTATATAAAATATAATTATAAACACTATCACACCCCAAAATTCTCTTAATTTTTTTAAGGACTAAATTGAATTTTGATTTAATTTTGGGACCAAAGTGATATTTTGATTAAATTCATATTCAAATTCAGAAAGCAATTAAATATGAAGGACCAATGGCATAATTTTGTCATTTTCTTTTTTTAGGGTTTATATAACCCCAAATATAGGGGAAATTAATTATTTTTTTCTTTCCTCAATATTTTCCTTTTAAAGAAAGAAATCTTCGATCGTCGATTCATCACTGATGGTTACTCCATTTTTGACACCTCCTACACCATCCTGTTCCTTGCATCGTCCCGAGTCCACCGATGTTCTTCTTATCTTTGTTGTCGATGGCGTGTAAGGGTGTGAGGAATATCAAGTTTCTGACGTTTCGAAATCGAGCTCTTCACCGTTCACTGTTGTGAACCGAGTTTGGTAAGTGTCTCAAAACCCCATAAAACACACTTACAATTTTTTTAGAATTTTTCCGACATCCTAAAGTCCTGTACGCACTCCCACACTCCGTCCCAACGCTTGGGGAAAGTCCACCGTTTGGTGGATTCCTTGGAAATGGGTCGATTTGACCCAACTCGTTAACCCGACCTGCTAATCCGACCCGCTTGCCCAACCCGATCCAAACCGATCAAACCCGGCCACCATTGACCGTTTACCGACAATTGACCGTTGACTTTGACAAAAAGGTTAAAATTTTTGAAAAGTCATATTTTATGTTTTTCGACGTCCTGAGTCCGATTTCGAAGTCCGTTTTGCTAAATTCTAATCTGAAAGCCCCGAATCGTGCTCGTTAACCCAAAAATGCTTTGTATTTTTAGTATTTTATTTATTTATTTGAGATTTGGTTAAGGAATTGAACCAATAAGATATTTTTATGTAGGTACTAGTATTTCACCGGACCGAGGGTCAATTAGATCCAGTGTTTCCCGTCCATCAGATTCGTTTAATCCATGTTCTATGAGAGTTACCCGTAGGTTTTCGTAAATTATTTAAATAAAGGTTAATATTATTCATATTAGGATTTTGATATGGTTTTTTTGATTCATAGGATCTAGCGCTACCGCTGATCGTGATCGACAAACTCAGTAGTAAGCTTCCCTAGTAAACTACTCAAATCGATACAGGTGTGTTTCCTGTTGGTGTTACATTATTGTTTTCAACTATCTGTTTGAACTGTTTGAGATTTATGATAATATTGAATATTTTTACGACACAATACCTGATTTTCTGAACACAATTTATTTGATATCTAATTTACTATATATTTCTGATATGATCTTTGGATTACCGTATTTTCCTATTTGATTTCTGAAAATGAATATTTTCATGTTTTAATAGAATAAACTATCGTTTTCATTGGACTACATTCATGTTATTTCTGTCATTGGGGGTTTTATTGGAGGAAGTATCTCAGGCCTAGTCTATGACTTGTAAGACCTTACCACATTCTGTGGGCTCCTCGGCTTTGTACTTAGGTTAAGTCCTTACTATAGGCTCCTCAGCTTTGTGCTCCGGGTAAGTCCTTACTACAGGCTCCTCGGATTTGTGCTCAGGGTAAGTCCTTACTATAGGCTCCTCTGCTTTGTGCACAGGGTAAGTCCTTACTGGGTGTACAAGTGGGTGTATGGTTATGGGGAACCTACACATTCTGGTGAACGGACGGGGGTAGTGTTCGTGTTTTTTTAAAACATGATTGATAAACCAATTTTACTGAAATATTTTAGCTGTATGTTTTTTATACACCGTAAGGAGCACACTGAGCTTTTTAGCTCATTCAATATATTTTAACCTTTTTAGATATTAGTAGACTAAACTAGCATAATTGGCATCAGGAGGACCGACTTTTCCTAATTTTGTACTACTGTATATTTCTATGTACCTTTCTGTTATATTTTGGTGACATGTGTTTAGCTATCGTCTTGATATATCTGTATTATCGGTATTCTGTTCCGTAAATGTTTTTTACAATTTTCTGTGGTATTTTGATATGTATATGTTTTATACAGTTTTCTGACATATGTATACATATATGTTTATCATAAGAATCTTTCTTATGGATTTTAACGTTGTTTTAAATATGAAAAAAAAACTGAATGCGATATGTGACCGCCTAGATTTGGGCCTAATGTCCAGGTCGAGTCTAGGGGGTTACACTTGGTGGTATTAAAGCTTTCGGTTTTAAACACTCGAACTGTGGATAAGTCCAAAAATCTAGATTTTCAATATATTTTTCAACAAAAAAACCCGTGTCACCTTATTTATGAGTTTAAATATATTCGAGATCTCTGATGCTAGTCTGACTTAGGTTCAAAATTTCTGTAGAGCCTTATAGATTTATCTGATGAGTGCGACTAGAGGTCTTAGGCCAGGTCGTGGTCGAGCGAGTGACTCGACCTTCTGTTACGATAGACGATCGCATGTCACCACGGGATCCTTCTGTCCCATATATAGATCATTCTATTTCTAGAGATAACCTGGTTACTCCTACGAGAGACCTTCCCGTCCCTGAGGACGAGGACACTGTTATGGATGAGGACACCATTAATAGAGCTATCTTTCGCATGTTCAGGAGAGTTGCTAGAGTCCCTGGTAATATGTCTGCTGTTGAGATTTCAAAGTCTTTAGTAGCTGCTGGAGTAGTTCCGTTTCTTAGGGTCTTAATATCCTGGTTAAGAATACTGAGAATTCGATGATAGTTTAAAGTCCCATAGGTCAGTCCATAGAGTTAGATCGTATTTTTGGAGGGTGACCTATAGAGATCCATGGGGAGATATTTCTCGCCGACGTGATGGAGTTACCTTTGGATGAGTTTGACTTGATTCTTGGCATGGATTGGTTGAACAAGCATTGAGTTAATCTCGATTGTGAGACCAAGAGAGTTGTTCTGAAGATTCCGGGTAATCGAAAGATTGTGATGATCGGGGAACATCGTGGATTCCTGATGACTGTTGTGTCGGCATTGATAGCTGAGAGGATGATCAGGAAGGGTTCCGATGCGTTTTTTGCTTATATTCTGGACGCTAGGAGTTCTCAATCTGATATTGAAGGCATCTGGATTGTTAAGGAATTTCCTGATGTTTTTCCTAAAGAGTTGCTTGGATTACCGCTGGATAGAGAAGTTGATTTTGAGATTGAAGTATATTTTGGTTCCACCCCGGTTTCGATGGCTCCTTACCGTATGGCCCCAAAGGAGCTTAAGGAACTGAAGGTCCAACTCCAGAAGTTGTTGTATAAAGGATTTATTCGACCTAGTGTATCACTGTTGGGAGCCCTAGTTCTCTTTGTCAAGAAGATAGATGGAACATTGAGACTCTTTATTGATTTTAGGAAACTGAATAAGCTCACGGTTAAAAATAAATATCCTCTGCCCAGGATCGATGATCTATTTGACCAATTTTGAGGGGCTTCTATCTTTTCAAAGATAGACTTGAGGTTTGGTTATTACCATTTCAAGGTGAAAGATTCTGATATCCCAAAGACTGCTTTCCGTACTCGGTATGGGCATTATGAGTTTTAAGTGATGTCATTCAGGTTAACTAATGACCCTGTAACTTTTATGGATCTGATGAGTCGAGTGTTTCAACCCTATCTGGACCAATTTATGGTTATGTTTATTGATGACATATTGGTGTATTCTCGAGCTGAAGCAGAACATGATGAGCATTTAAGGATTGCTCTCTAGACTCTAAGGGAAAATAATTTATACGCCAAGTTGAGCAAATATGAGTTTTGGCTCAGCAATGTGACTTTTCTTGGACATATCGTTTCTGCTGAGGGTATGCGGGTGGATCTAAGTAAAGTGGAGGCTATTATAAACTGGAAGTAGCCCAAGAACGTCTCTCATATTCTTAGTTTCTTGGGCTTAGCTAGTTACTATCATCATTTCGTTGATGGGGTTCTATATTATTGCAACTCCTTTAATGAAAATATTGAGGAAAGACGTTCTATTTGTCTGGTCTGAGAATAAACAAGCTAGCTTTAAGAAACTGAAGATTGTTCTAACTCAAGCCCCAGTGCTAATTCAGCTTGAGTCTGGGAAAGATTTTTTTATCTACAATGATGCTTCTCACTCTAGATTAGGATGTGTTTTGATGCAAGATGAGAAGGTTGTCACTTATGCGTTACGTCATTTAAAGCCGCATGAACGTAACTATACTACTCACGATCTAGAGTTAGATGCCGTGTTTTTTGCTTTGAAGATCTGGAGACACTATCTCTATGGAGAAAAATGTTATATCTATATCGATCTTAAGAGTATGAAGTATTTTCTTACTCAGAAAGAATTGAATTTAAGACAACGTCGATGGTTGGATCTTCTAAAGAACTATGATTGTGAGATAGAATATCATCCAGGGAAGGCTAATGTGGTGGCTGATACCTTGAGCCGTAAGGCGATATCTGATCTGAGAGCTTTGTTCGCCAGCTTGAGTTTATTTGATGATGACAAAGTTACAAGTTAAACCCACTTTGGCCGAGGAGATTAAAGCCAAACAGCTCCTTGATAGCTCTATGCTTCCCATTATTGAACAAGTTGAGCAGGTATCGAGTTTAGAGTATACTTTGGATCTCGATGGTATTTTGTGCTTTCACGGTCGTTACTGTGTCCCTAAAGATGATGAGGTTAGACAAGATATTCTTCAGGAGGCTTATACTAGTCCTTATTCTATGCATCTTGGCGGTGACAAAATGTACAAGAATCTCAAGGAGCGCTACTTTTGGACTGGTATGAAAATGAATATTTAAGATTTTGTGGCGAGGTGTCTGACTTGTCAACAAGTTAAGGCAGATCACCAGTATCCGTCTGGATTGTTACAGTCAATTAATATTCTTGAGTGGAAATGGGAGCGTATTACGATGGACTACGTTACTGGTGTTCCTCTGACTCCTTCAAAAAAGGATTTTGTTTGGGTGATTGTTGATCGACTCACCAAGTCAACTCACTTTATCCCTGTTCGGGTTAATTATTCTTTGGAGAAGCTGGCTAGATTGTACATTTCTGAGAACATTAGACTTCATGGTGTTCCGTTTTCTATCATATCTGATCGAGATACGAGGTTCACTTCCAGGTTCTGGAAAGCTTTGCACTAGGCTTTGGGTACTCGTTTGAATTTCAATACAACTTTTCACCCACAGACTGATGGTCAGTCTAAGTGAGTGATCCATGTGCTGAAGGATATGTTACGGAGTTGTGTGATTGACTTCTGTGATAGTTGGGGAGATTTCTTGTCCTTAGCCGAGTTTGCTTACAATAACAGTTACAAGGCAAGTATTCACACGGCAACGTACGAGGCTCTATATGGACGTAGATGTCGTACTCCTATCTGTTGGAGAGAGTTGCATGATAGAAAAACTTTGGGCCCAGAGTTAGTTCAAGAGACTGAGGATAATGTCCGATTGATCTGTGATATCTTAAGAGAATCATTTGATAGGCATAAATCATACACAGATCAATGATGGAAGGATATTGAGTTTGTGGTTATGGATTAAGTTTTTCTCAAGGTAACTCCGTGGAAGAAAGTTTTGAGATTTGGACGTAAGGGTAAATTGAGCCCAAGATTTATTGGGTTATATCGTATTCTGAAGAAAGTTAGACCTGTTGCTTATCAGCTTGAGTTGCCTCCCCAGATCAGTCGCATTCTTGATGTTTTTCATGTATCCATGTTGAGGCGATATCGTCCAGATCCAGATCACATCATTCAAGTTGAGGAGGTATAGTTGAGACCTAATTTGTCTTATGAGGAGGAGCCCGTTCAGAATTTAGATCGGGATGAGAGAGTTCTTAGAAATAGGCCTATTCCGATGGTCAAAGTTCAATGGAGTAACCGTGGCCCCTCAAAAGTTACTTGGGAGACATTGGAGCCAATGGAGGCTCAATTTCCGTATTTGTTTACATCATGTAAATTTCGAGGGCGAAATTTCTTTTAAGAGGGAGAGTTGTCAAACCCCAAAATAGGGCCTAAGATTCTCTTAATTTTTTTTCAAGGACTAAATTTAATTTTGATTTAATTCGGGGATTAAAAGTGAAATTTTGATTAAATTCATATTCAAATTCAGAAAGTAATTAAATATGAAGAACCAATGGCATGATTTTTCTATTTTCTTTTTTAGGGTTTATATAACCCCAAATATAGGGAAATTAATTAATTTCTCTCTCTTCAATATTTTCATTTTAAAGAAAGAAATCTTTGATCGTCGATTCATCGCCGATCGTTGCTCCGTTTTTGACACCTCCTACAGTATCGTGTTCCTTGCGTCATCCCGAGTCCACCGGTGTTCTTCTTATCTTCGTTGTCATTGGCGTGTAAGGGGGTGAGGAATATCAAGTTTCTAACGTTTCGAAATCGAGCTCTCCTCCATTCACCATTATGAATCGAGTTTGGTAAGTGCCTTAAAACGCTCTTACAAATTTTTTTAAAATTTTTCCGACCCCCTAAAGCCTCGCACGTGCTCCTATTCATCGTCCCTGTGCGTGGGGAAAGTCCAACACCTGTTGGACTGCTTGGAAATGGGCCGATTCGACCCAACCCGCTGATCCGACCCGTCTGCCCGACCTGGTCCACCGATAACTATTGATCGATAGTTGACCGTTGACTTTGACCAAAAAGTAAAATTTTTTGAAAACTCTTATTTTATGTTTTTTGACGTCCTGAGTTTCATTCTGAAGTCCATTTTACCAAATTCTGACCCGAAAGCCCCGAATCAAGCTTGTTAACCTAAAAATGTTTAGTATTTTAGCACTTTTGATTATTTATTTGATATTTGGTTATGGAATTGATCCAATAATATATTTTTATGAAGGTACTCATATTTCACCTGACCGATTGTCGAATAGATCTGGTTTTTCCCATCCGTCAGATTTGTTCGATCTGCGTTCTACAAGAATTACCCGTAGATTTCTGTAAATTATTTAAATAAAAATTAGTATTATTCATATTAGGATTCCGATATGGATTTTCCAATTCATAGGATATAGCGCTGTCACTGATCGTGATCAACAAACTCAGTAGTAAACTTCCCTATCAGATTACTCAAATCAATATATGTGTGTGTTTCAGTTGGTGTTACATTACTGTTTTCAACTATCTGTCTGAACTGTTTGAGATTTCTGATTATATTGAATATTTTTACGACACAATACCTGATTTTCTGAACACAATTTATATGATATCTAATTTACTGTATATTTCTAATATGATCTATGGATTACCATATTTTCATATCTGATTTTTGAAAAATGAAATATTTTCATGTTTTAATGGAATAAACTACCATTTTCATTCGACTACATACATGTTATTTCTATCATTGGGGGTTTTATTGTACGAAGTATCTCAGGCCTAGTCTATGACTTGTAAGACCTTACCGTTTTTCGCAGGCTTCTCGGCTTTGTGCTCAGGGTAAGTCCTTACTGTAGGTTCCTCGGCTTTGTGCTCATGGTAATTCCTTACTGCAGGCTCCTCGGCTTTGTGCTCAGGGTAAGTTCTTATGGCAGGCTCCTCTGCTTTGTGCACAGGGTAAGTCTTTACTGGGTGTACAGGTGGGTGTATGGTTCTGGGGGACCTACACATTCTGGTGATCGGACGGGGGTAATGTTCTTGTTTTTTAAAACATGTTTGATAAATTGATTTTACTGAAATATTTTATCTGTATATTTTTTATACACTGTAAGGAGCACACTAAGCTTTTTAGCTCATTCCGTATATTTTAACATTTTCAGATAATAACATACTAGACTACCAGAGTTAGCATCAAGAGGACCGACTTCTCCTAATTTTGTACCGATGTATATTTCTATATACCTTTTTGTTATATTTTGGTGACATGTGTTTTTCTACCATCTTGATATATGTGTATTATCAATATTTTGTTTTGTAAATGTTTTATACGGGTTTTTGTGGTATTTTGATATGTATATGTTTTATACAGTTTTCTGACATATGTATATGTTTGATATGTTTAAGTTTTATACTGTTTTCTGACATATGTATACATATATGTTTATCATAAGAATCTTTCTTATGGATTTTAAAGTTCTTTTAAATATGGAAAAAAATCTGAATGCGGTATGTGACCGCCTAGATTTAGGCCTAACGTCTAGGCCGGGTCTAGGGGGTTACAAAGACTAAAGTATATAAGTATAAAATATAAAGTAAATATAGATATAAAGTATAAGTGTATATATATAAGTATATAATATATACTTTATATTATTATATATGTATATATAATTTTTACTAAAACTTTATATATATATATATATATATATAATATAAAGTATATAATATATATAAAGTTTTAGTATAAAGTATATATACTTTATAGTATATATATATATATATGTTGAGTTAATCGATCGATGGAATAGGCCAAGAGGGGGGTGAATTGGCAATAAAAATTTTGGTGGAAGCTTTTGCAGAAAATTGAAAATAGTTGCACAACAATTTAGAGTGGTTCGACTTTCTCAACCAAAGTCTACGTCCACTACCTTAGCTATCCACACTAAGGATTTTCCACAAATTCATTAATTTGTCTTTCTTTTGAGGAAAAAGAGTAACCTTACAAATCCCTCAAGAATTATACCCCAAATTCTTGAGAACTCTCTCTCCCAAAGAGAACAATACAAATTTTGCAAACTTACAAGAAAATCCTCACAAGGAAAGATGTTTGCACAATTCTATAACAAAGAAAGAACACTTAAGAATAATACAATTGAACACAATAAGTGTTATTGAAAGCAAAAATGAATATTGAATGGAATAGGCTTGAAAATGCTCAAACTTGAAGTTTGATGCTTTCTCTTTGATTCTCTCTTGATTCTTGATAATTGTATTGATCAATGGCTTCTAAGCTTGTTTAAATACTCCTTGGATCATTTCTGAATGTTGGGGATCATTAGTGGAGTTAATAGAGCCGTTAGTGTGTGAAAACAATTAATAAAACAGTTGGGAGCATATGGTGCATCGATGCATAGGCTTTGTGCATCGGTACACTATGTGTAAAATTTAAATATTTTGACCGTTGGAAGACTTAGTGCATCGGTACACTAGGGTGTGCATCGGTGCACAATTTTGCTTCGATGTTTCAAAAATAGTCGGGGTGCATCGATACATGACTTGTTCATCAGTGCTCAAAATCAATTCGATGTTTCAATAAAATCCTGAGTGCATTGATGCATGGTTGTGCATTGGTACATAAAATGCATTCAAAATGGGTGTGCATCGATGCATCAAATTAGTGCATAAAACACAATTGTTTCGAAATACTTTATGAAAATTGTTTCAAAAATATTTTTTAAGTATAAAACACAATTTTACACTTTAGTAAGGATTGAAATTTAGCTTTGAAAGGCTTGGAGTAATATTTTTATATTCAAATAATTATATCGAATATACTTAGAAAATCATTTGTAAAATCTTAAAATTCTTTTATCTTAATTTGTTATATCGAAACATCAAAATGTTTTCAACAATCTCCCCCTTTTTGATATAACAAAACATTTGAGTAATTTTAAGATTTTATACTTAAAATAATTTTTTGAGATCAATTTTGAAATTACTCCCCCTTACTATAATACTTATTACTCCCCCTTACTATAATACTTCTCCCCTTTTTTGTTAAATCAAAAAGACTCTATAAAACGTTTTGAAACAAGGTTTTTGAAAAAAAATATAACTAATTGATACTTATAGATATAGCTTAAGCTGCTAAGATCACAATCAAGAGAAAGGTTAGCCATTAGTTTCATAATTCAATATTCATAAACGATGTGAAATGACAAAATTGGTCATAATGCTACTAATATGTAAATGATGCAAAACTAACCAATATTAAGCTCAAAATTGAAAATTCAAACCAAACCAAATATATATATTAAGTTCAAACATTCAATCATCCAACAAATTCAAACATCCAAAATAAAAACAATCCATGAACATCAAAATGTTTCACAATTCAAAGTTTTGAGTTCGGGTTTCAATTCAAGTAAAATAAAGTAAGGTAGGTCTAGTCGTCCATAGGAGGATCGGGAGGAGGAGGATATAATGTGCTCGTACTTCAAGTGTGAGAGCATCCATACGTTCACGCATCTCCCGTTGAAATTCAGTCAGCTAAGACTCAATGAAAGCAAACCTTAGATCAAATGACTCCATAAATGTTCGAAAATATGGAGGCATTTGTTCCTCTTGCTATACCGCTTCCGGTGCCAGAGAGTCATTGTCGGGTATGATCTCGTCAGTATATTGCATCAGTTATTGAAGCTTTGGATCGTTGTCCGCTGCCGGTGCCGGAAGTGGTGGAGCTCGTGAAGAGGTTGCTCTCGGAGTTTGCTCAGTAGGTCGATAAACCCACTGGCCAGTTTCCTTATCCTATTTCCATCCCGCTTTCTTTAAGGAAATGAAATTTATTTGGTTTTGGAGAGGGATTGGAATATCAAGATTGTCCCTAAGACTGAGTTT